TATGTAAAGGTACAATTCCCAATGAGAAATGTAATTGTGTTGTATACCTACAATGTACCAATAAAAGAATTTAATAAAAAAAAATTTTTTTTAATTAAAAAAAGAAAATTGGAATAGATGGTCTTCATCTCAATGTGATAAACTATCAGCCAATGATAAACCAACAGCCAATATCATACTAAATGGACAAATACTGAAGACTTTCACCTAAAATCAGGAACAAGACAAGGATGTCCACTATCACTACTCCTATTCAATATAGTTCTGGGAACATTGGAGCAATTAGACAAGGAAAATAAAAGGAATAAGAATAGGAAAGGAACGAGTTACATTATCATTATTTGCAGATGACATGATACTCTACATAGAAGACCCCAAAAACTCCACCAAAAGATTTATAGATTTAAAAACCAAATTCAGTAGCATAGCTGTATATGAAGCCAACACTCAAAAATCAATAGCATTCCTGTACACAAATAACAAACTTACAGAGAGAGAAATTAAGGAAACTGTAACTTTTATAATAACATCAAAGAAATGAAATACTTAGAAATCAGTTTAACGAAGGAAGTAAAAGATTTTTACACTGAAAACTATAGTACTTTGAAAAAGGAGATCAAAGAGAATATCAGAAAATGGAAGGTATCCCTTGTTTTTGGGTAGAAAGAACCAATAAAATGAAATTGGCCATACTCCCAAAATTGTTTTACAAAGATTTAATGCAATCCCAATCAAAATACCAATAGCAGCTGCTGGATTGATTTCTCATGTTCCCTTATAATCTTGAAGCAATTTTTCTTTTCCTGGTCACTAATTGCAATCTTATCTTCTATATCTGAAATTCTGTCAACTCTAAAACGTATCTAAAATGGGCTGGGGATTTAGCTCAATGGTTCTGCCATCTGCCTCTCAAGCACAAGGTCCTGAGTTTGATCCCCAGTACAAAAAAAAAAAAAACTTATCTAAAATGAAAATGACCAGACCCTGTCTTTCTGGTCACCAAGATTTTTGCATTGATCACCTTCACTAGCTTGCAAGTTCCCTGAGAACAAGGACGGTGCTTGATGCTCTCACCCAAAATAAACAAGTACAATCCCAAGGACATTAAAGGTGCTCAGAGTGGGCTTTATAAGCAGCTGACGTCACTAATCCTTTCTGCTCTTGCTAGAATCAGAAAGGGCAAAAAAAGGGTGAGGCTACTGAGTCAGCATTTGGCACTCTGGGCTTGTGTCTTCAAAAAAAACCAGAAACACCTTCTCTAGAGAACCCTTCAGGTCAGCATGACTTTAACTATTTTATGTACATGTGTTTTTGTGGTGACTTGCAAGAGACACAAATTGAAGTGGCTTTTTTGGCCATAGAAATCGATGACCCCTAGACTATGTTTCCATAAATATGCATTAGAATCTCATAAAAGAATATGCCTTGCACATTCACACATTAGGTTAACTAAGAATACAGTCAGCTGCACAAGTGTTTTATATGTCTGGAATACTGTGCTGAATTCCCATGATTCAGACCCCTTTCCAGTGCCTTTAGAGATGTTCTGCAGTGAGTATAGTTAGACTTTACAACTTATAAACAACTAAACAACAATCTATGATTTTTCTTAAAAAACTATAAATTGAGTTCTTGAGATAACCAAAATTCTAAAGAATGTTATATTCTAAGGAAAATTTTAAAGGATTTAAACCTGTTAATTGTTTAAAAATAGATGCTAGTATTTACAAATTGAAATTAAGAAATTATAATAAAAGCAATATACCAAGACTGCCTCCAATGTTGCCCACCCAGAAGTTCTTTTGATTCAAGGTGCAGTATAGAGTTAAAACTTACTTGAAAAGAATTGTAAGTTCAAATTTTGTACTAAACCCAATTGCTTCTTTTCTTACATTCACTCCTACTCATCTGAATTTATAAATTTCTGCTACAATTTGGTTTTCCATGGTAACCTTTGAAGTTATTAGTATATAATGATCACCCATTCCACAGGAATACAGCATAAACTGAATCACACTGAGAAATTCTCCACTGTTTTCAACTATTCAATGCATTGTAAAATTCAAAAATATTTTATTGACATCTTAGTTCAATAACAGTTCACTTATTTTATGGCTTAAGAGCTCTTCAAAAAACTGTGATAATGTGACTATAAGGGCTTCATTCTGATTATTCAATCATGGCTAAAATAACACTTGATATCTAACTCCTATTTGCACAACAACCTGCTGAATTATCTTTTAATAATAATATCCTAAAGAGATGATATCAAGCCAGGAATTGATGCTGTTACCTGACTTAAGACAAAAAATATATGTTAATAGTTTCAGAACTATTCAATGTGGTATGATTGATTAATTTTCAGTGTCAATCCCTGGGTAGGGAGAGGCCTAGATGGTGGCATTGTTCTTGAATAGGTTTATGTCTTGGTCTATTTTCCATTTCTATAACAGAATACCTTAGAGTTGGGTAATTTACAAACAATAAAAGTTTATTTGACTCATAATACTGGGGGCTGGGAAGTCTAAAAACATGGTGCCAACATCTGATAAGGGCCTCTGTGCTGTGTCACAACATACCAAACGGGCAATTGACCACATAGGAGACAGAAGAAATAAGGACAAACCCATCCATCACAAATCTACCTTCATGATAACAAACCCATTGCCAGGATAACAGTGTCTTAATACTGTTACAGAGAAAATTAAATCACCATGTGAGTTTTGGAGGGGATGTCCACACCACAGCAGTCTGTGAGAGTTTCCAGAGGACATTAACATGTGAGTTGGTAGGCTGCAGACTGACAGAAAGGTCCACCCTCAATGTGAGTGGACATCATTGAATGACTGGTGCCTGTATGAAACAAAAAGGTAGAAGAGGAGTGAATTCTCTATCTACTCTCTTTCTCTATCTTCTCTTTTCTCCTCCTCCTCCTCCCCTTCTTTTTCTCCGCCCTACCCCCTTGAAGCAGGACACCTTTCTTCTCCTGTCCTTGGACAACAGAACTCTAGGTTCATCAGCTTTTAGATCTAGGAACTTGCACCAGAAGCCCCCAGGTTCCCAAGGGCTCAGCCTGTGAATTATACCACTGCCTCCCTGCTTTGGAGGCCTTCAGGCCTGGACTGAGCCATGCTACTGGTTTCTCTGATTCTCCACATTGCAGATGGTTTGCCCTATCCTGGGATTTCTCAGCCTCCATAGTCACATAAGCCAATACCTCTAATAAATCCTGCTACCTGCTATCTATGTACCAATGTATCTATCTAATCTCCTAATTATTGTCTTTCTGAAGAACCTTAACTAAAACAATACCAAATCACAGTTTCATATTAAAATTTTTATCCACTAATAAAATATTTTAAAATAATCAGTAAAAAATTTTCAGTGTGATACTGCTATACTGGTCATAAACTTGTCGATATTTTCTTTATCACCATACACACACAAGCATCACTGAAATTATATTTTTCCTTTTCAGATTACTCCCTGAAATAAATAGTAATTTATTTAGAGATTGATGAAAACCTATGTCGAACTTCATTTCTTCATTTCTGCAGACAGAAATAGACTGTTGCAGACCATGGGCAAGACAGAGCTCAGGCTTTGTGAAGACCTTGGTGGAGAGAATTTTTGGACAGCATGACTAAAGATAACCAGACACCCTCCTGCTTACCACAAAGTAGTGGGTTCCAGGAAAACCTTGGCTCAGAAATACATGAGGACCTTAGAGAGAAAAATAGAGTAGTCTCCTATAAATATATGGTTCTTCCTCTAAGAGGCCAAAGGGAGATCAACAGTCTGCCTTTTTTCTTTTCTTTGACTCTTTATTATACTTTTATTTATATTTCTTAATGAATACAAAATGACAAATATTTGATACATTATATATTGTATAATGCTCAAATCAGGGTAAATATAGCTATCTCCTCAAACACTAATCATTTCTTTACAGTGAAAACGTTCAAAATCTTTTCTTCTGGATTTTTTAAATGTGTAGTATATCATCATCATTATCTATAATCACTCTATAGTCCAAAATAAAACCAGAACTTATTTCTCCATTCTATTTTTCCTAACCTCTAGTAACCACCATTCACAAAACCACTTTCAGCTTTCATGAGACCAACTTTTTGGAGATTCCACATATAAGTGAGATCACACAGAACTTGTCTTCTGTCCCTAGTTTATTTCACTTCATATAATGACCTCCAATTCCATCCATGTTCTCATAAATGGCAGGACTTCATTCCCTGTTGTGGCTGAGTAGTATTCCATTGTGTATATCTATCTCTATTGACTTTTCAGCTAATAGACACTTAAGTTGTTTCCGTTTTTGGCTATTGTGAATAATGCTAGAATAAATATAAGAGGGCATCTGTCTCCTCTATGCTGTGACTTTTTCAAGCCTGAGCTCAGAGGACTGTAAGAAATACAGAAAGCTGGGACACTTGCTCTGAGAGAGATCATTAGGGGACTTGTAGCCTGCTTTCTTGTTCACCAGTGACTTAGTGGGGAGAAACTTAGTGGGGAGAAATCTTGTCTTGCTTAAGGAGCTTATTTACTTTAGGGCACTTCCTTTACTTAGAGCACAAAATAACCAGAAAGAAGGGGGTGGGGGGGACTACTTAAGAGGAAACCACTCTGGACAAAAAGAGAGAGAGAGAGAACAGAGGAGGATTTTCAACAAAAATGCCAAGGCAATGCAATGCCAGGATATCTTTTCTTTTCACAAAATGATGCTAGGATAACTGGACAGCTACATGCCAAACAGTGAATTTAGATTCCTACCTCATATACAAAACTTAACTCAAAGACAATTACAGACATACATGTAACAACTAAGTTTATAAAACTCTAAGAAGAAAATGTAGAAGTAAATCTTTATGACTTTGGGATAACACCAAAAGCACAGCAGAAAGAATAAATTGAAATTTACCAAAATTGAAAGTTTTTGTACTTTAAAGGATATCAAGAAAGTGAGAAGACAACCTGCAGAATGGGAGAAAATATTTGCAATCATATTTCTGACAAGGGACTTATATTTAGAAAATAGAGAACTTTTACAACTTAACAGTGAAAGAGTAAATAGCCCAGTTTTTAAACGGGCAGAGTGCTTACATAGACATATCACCAAAAAAGATACACAAATGGCCAATAAAGACATGAAGAAATGTTAATGTCATTAGTCATTAGAGAAATATAAATCAAAACTCTAATGAGATACCACTTCATATCCACCAAGGTGGTTATGACGACAAAGGCCAATCACACAGAATATAAAACAACAACAAAAAATCTGAATGGATCAAGGTGTCTCAGATTCCAACTGAAGAACAGACCCAATAAATCCTTTTAATTGGACAAAAATGTTCAGAAGGAGATTAACAGTATGGCTCTCCCTTTTGAGTTTGATGAATCCAAGGTACCTTCAATCAAATAAGAATGAGGTAACACGGAAGGTTCTAGAAAGCAAAGAAATATATACAAATATGTAGGAATCATGCCTAGAAAAAAAATGTGAATGAGCTCTTGGCATCAGAGGCTAACTAGAATAAAATATAAGAGGCTGACCAAATTTTGAAGAGAGTTGTGCTGCCAGTAAAGCCACCAGCCTGGTTTAAACAGATTGCAATTGTAGTTTAAGAATACCCTCGGGCTAGCAACAAGAGTGAAGGCTGAGTAAGCAAGCTCCCAGTGCTCGAGGAAGATGTAGTCTCCAATACTCACTTCCTAGATGACCAGTGAAATAATAGGGAAGGGAAAGGCTCTTAGAGAGTGGAATAAAAGGCAGAAATGGGTCTAATGAAGGAATTTCCCCTCTCCTTCAGGGGAAAAGGCTCCAGAGGGATTCCATAGATACCCTTTATGAATATGATAACATTTATTTGGTTTTTAAACCTATATCCCATTATATATCAGGTGTAAAAGGGAACATAACACATCTTCTAATTCACAGACATCTGACTTACAAAGAGCCACATTCTGGCCTGATATAGAGAGTACTGGAAATCACTCTGAGCTTGTGACTATCAATGAATAGGAGTTTTGAGTTGTCTCCCTTGGGCACAGGAAGTTAACAAAATACAATCATCCCTTGTTATCCCTGAGAGATTTATTCCAGTACCAAAATCCATGGATGCTCAAAAATCATGGTTGCTTTAAATTAAATGGCCTATTTATCATACAACCTACTCAGATCCTCTTGTACACTTAAGATCATCTCTAGATTATTTTTAATACTCAATACAATGCAAATGTTATGCAGATAGTTGTACTATGTTGTTTTTGGAATAATGACAAGAACAAAAGTCTATATATGTTCAATACAAATGTGAGTTTTTTTCAAATATTTTCAATCTTTGGTTGGTTGAATTCATGGATGGGGAACCTGAAGATCTGGAGGTCCAACTGTATATGATAACCAGAGGGTGGATGGTGTGGTCATAAGACTGTTCACAGACGTTTCTGACTCTCCACTCAGACACAGAGAAGGCTTGCACACTCCCACCCTTTGAGCATTGATGAGGCTATATTATTATGCTTAAACAGTAAAATGTGAGAAGAAGATTCACGCATGGTGCTATGAGATAGTTCATGATTTTCATATTCCTTTCCCTTCATATAAATATCAGCTGGAAGCCTGTGTCAAGTTGGAGCATCCATCAGCCTTGGTCTCCACAACACTACAGTCAACAAGAGTCCCTATATTGGACCACAAGAAAAATGTATGATATAAACTTTACTTGGGTTAATAATATACAAACTTGGGGGTTGTTTGTTACCATGATTCAACCTACTATACCCTCACGGAAGCACATGTCAAACTGGACTACAGGAAATCTTGCCCTTACTTATATAGATACTGAAAACACCCCCAAAATGAGACCCTCACATTAAAAATAACTTGACTTCACTATGTTTGAAAGTTTTAAAGTTATAGCTTGTTTCTAAATTCTTAATGATACCTTAGAAGAATCAAACAAAGTTTGTATGAGAATCATAGTTTGCCCTGGGGACACAGTGAAAAGTAAATTCTTAAACTTCTCTTCGAACCTCTGATTGAAATGGATGCACTCAGTCAAATAGCCTCATCATCCAGTTTGAGGAGCATCACAGAGGTTTTCTGCAGCCTTCTAAGGTGCACAGGTGTCCTCGCCAAGAGGGAAAGAGGCAGTCTAACCCATGTCCTTTACCCTTTTGGGAACTTTCTTTAAAGGGTGGTGTTCTTTCTAATCAAGAGTGAGGGGAAACCTATCATTCCTTGCTCCTCTCTAAACTAGCAGTCAGTGAATCTCTTCTCTCCATGAAATTTAGCACAAGCTACAAAGACAGAAATAAGAAATTATCATAAAATAAACTGTTGGGAAGGTAAATGCATGGGATTATGGGCACTGTGGTTTATATTTTATTATTTACTGGAAAAGGGAAAACTCATGATAAACTGATTATTTTCCCATTGCAAAAGGAAGATGTGATGCGTAAGCATGTCATTAAAGAGAATTATCTGATCTCCTAGCTTTCCTGAATATGTTAAGGGCCATGACCCACTTGAGCTAAAGTTTGCCCCTATAAATGCATTTGTCCTATAAATTTTTGTTTCCTCACTCTTTCAATCATCAAACTAGAAGAGTAACAATACGTGTGGAGTCACCAGGTTAGACATTTTTCCTTAGCAATACTTAAGAAATTGTTTAGCTCAGTTCTCTACAAAGGCAAGAACATTTTATTTAAATAGAAATTAAGTCACTTCTGTAAATGAGCTATATACAGTTTCTTAATGGTTACTAGGTAGGTAGGCAGACTGATCGACTGATCAATAGACAGATAGATAGATAGATAGATAGATAGATAGA